GCTGTTGTTCTCGCGGACCCGCAGGGTGTAGGAGGTTTGGGTGAAGGCGGGGGCGTTGTCATTGACGTCGGAGACCAGCACGGTTATGCTGTGCTCGGTTTTCAGCCTGGGGGATCCCATGTCGGTGACGGTGATGGTGATGTTATACTCGGCCCGGCTCTCTCTGTCCAGTGGCCTCTCTGTCACTAGAGTGTAAAAGTTCTTGAATGTGGGTTTCAAGAGAAAGGGGACATCGTTCTGGATGAAGCAAACCATCCTACCATTGTCCCCAGAGTCTGGATCAGAAACACTGAAAACAGCAACTACAGTCTCTGGGGAGTTTTCTGGGGTAGAGCTGGTGAGCGTCGACATGGTCAGTTCAGGGGCGTTGTCGTTCACATCTACCACCTCTATAGCTACGGTGCATGTTCCGGAAAGGCCCCCGCCATCTGTGGCTGCAATCTCCACGTTGTAATATTGAGTTGCCTCAAAATCTAATGCCCTTTTCAGACGAATTTCTCCTGTTATTTCGTCTATTACAAATGGGTGAGTAACTTCATCACCTTGGAAGAAAGCGTAGGCTACATTCCCGTTCGTTCCTGCATCTAGATCTCTGGCGGAGACAGCGACAACTAAGGAGTTTAGGGGGCTGTTCTCCGGCACCTGTACCTCATACAGCGACTGTAAGAACTCAGGGGCGTTATCATTGATGTCCACGACCTCAATGCGGACTGCAGTGGTCCCGGACCTGGGCGGAGCCCCACCATCCAGCGCCGTGAGGGTTAAACTGAGCTCCGGCTGCTCCTCCCGATCCAGCGCTTTGTCCAGCACCAGCTCCGGGTATTTTCTGCCACCTCCGCGATTATGAGTGACAACATGAAAATGGGAGTTGGGGCTGATTGTGTAGTTCTGAATAGTGTTGCTACCTATGTCCAAGTCCTGAGCTATTTTCAAAGGAAACACAGTCCCTGGCTGGACGATTTCTGGAATTTTTAGGAGCATTTCCCTCTCTAGGAACTCTGGAGAATGGTCATTTATATCTGTGAGCTGCAGATCAGCTTCAAAAAACTGCACTGGGTTTTCCAGTAATAGTTGGAAATGCAGTATACAGGGATCTGTCGCCCCGCACAACACCTCCCGGTCTAGTTTTTTATACAGAAGCAAATTCCCGGTCTTTATATCTAACTGCAAGAGCTGTTTGTTTCCTTTGTAATGGATTCGCGCGCCCCGAGTGGCCAGTTCCCCCACCCTGAGCCCCAGGTCTTTTGCCAGGTTGGCCACAAAGGAGCCACTTTCTGTTTCTTCTGGCATGGAATACCTAATTGCTTCAGAGCCAGCCTCCCACAAAAGCAACAATATAGCAAGAAAGATAACTTGCCTTTTCCATGGCGTTTTTGCTAGCGCAGTCTCCATTGTTCAGATCCGATCCAAGGAGGTGCAGTTTCTTCAAGTCGGTGTACAATCAACCCAGGTGATTTGTTAAATAATCTCGAATTAGATCTTTCTGACTTGCACTAGAACGATGCCCTCTCTGAAAATCTCTGCCCCTAGATCTTACCTAAAATGCTTCCTTCTTGTAGGAAGCATTCAGAGTTCTGATTCCCAGCTTAATGGCGTCACGGGCATCCACAGAGCCCTTCCTTCATACTCCTAGCCTGCAGCGCCACCAGGCGTCCTTATTTACTATTGCATATAGTGTTTGCCATTTCATTCCAAATTATAACTCGGGTGTATATCAACATCCTTTTTAAGTCACAGAAGTGTTCCCCATCGTATCTCCAGTTCTTAGTTACTGCAAGTTCTAAATAAACATTTGCTGAGTTAACTTTCAGTGAAAGAATACTTAGTATTCTTATAAAAGTATCTTTCGCGTACACGAAGAAACTTTCTCTTGTGGGTCTCTTACTTGATGATATTCAAGAAATAAGTGATAATGGATGTTTACAAAAGTTTACAGTTTTACGAAAATGATCTTTATTTTGAAATATAACATACATCAGAAAAGGGCACAAATTATAAGTGTAGAACTCAATGAATTTTCACCAAGTGAACACATTCCTCTGAGCAGAACCTAAATTAAAACTAAAATGTTACCAAAACCCTAGAAGCTCTTTCCCTTCATTGTCTGGTCACTAGCCTCCCCCCTAGAGGTAAGCACTCTCCTGACTTCTATCATAAAGGTTTTTTTGGTCTTCTTTCCGAACTTTTGTACAAATGGAATTATAGAATATTACTTCTTCATGACTGGCTTCTTTCGCTCAACATTACACTTGTAAAATTCATCTGTTGCACATTGTTCTAATTTATTTTATTCTCCTTGCTTTACATTATTCTATTGTATGATTGTACTATGATTTGTTTATCCATTCTCCAGTTGATGGACATTGGGATGGATATTTGGGAATATCCAGTTGGGGGATATTTTAGTAGTGCTGCTATGAACATTCTTGTACGTCTTTTGGTGTGTATGTGTGCATTTATGTTGAATATATTCCTAGGAGCTAGATTGCTGTGTGTTAAGATGTGCACCTATATTTAGCTTTAGCAGATATTGCAAAAACAGTTATCAAATGAAGTTTTATCCAAATCAGCAAAGAATGCGAGTTCCAGTTTCTCCAGATCCTTGTCAACATTTGATATTGTCTTTTAATTTTAACCGCTGTGTAACTTTAATTAGCACTTCCCTGATGATTAATTAAATTGAGCACATTTTTGCATGTTTATTGGCCATTAGGGTACATTCTTGTGAAGTGCTTGTTAAGTCTTTTGTCCATTTTTCTATTTAGGGCATTTGCCTTTTTTTTCTTATCGATCTTTAGAAGTTCCTTATATGTTCTGGGTATAAGTACTTTTTCAGAAGTATGTATTGCAAATATCTTCTCCCACTCTGTGGTTTGGATTTTAACTCTCTTATGGTATCTTTGATGAACAAACAACTTTGATTTAGTCTAATTTGTCAATATTTTAAATTTATGGTTAGGATTTTGGTGTTCTCTTTAAATCTTTGCATACCCCAAGATAATGAAAATATTCTTGTATGGTGTTTTTGAAAAATTAATTACTTGACTTTTCAAGTAAAAGCTATAATCCTCCTGAAATTAATTTTTTCATATGAATGAGGTTAGAGTAAAAATTATTTTTTTCATATAAATATCCAAATGACTTTGCACCCCTTTGTTTCTGGTGTCATTTTGTCATAAATCAGATGACCATAGGTCTGCTCGACTCTTTTTATCAATTTTTCTCTTGGTTTATCCTGTAATACCATATTGTCTTAATTACTACAGCTTTATAATGGGTTTTATTATCTGATAGATAAATTCTCTAGTTTTATTCTTTTTCTTCAAGATTTCTTTGGTTATTATTCTTTTGTATTTCCACATAAACTTTAGATTCAGCTTGCCAATTTTCACACAGAAATCTGCTGAAATTTTGTTTCAGATTTTATTGGGGAGAATTGACATATTCCCAACATTGAATCTTCCAACTATTGAACATTATATATCCCTCTATTTGTTTAGATCTTTAACTTTTCTCAGTAATATTTTATATTTTTCAGTGTAGAAGTCTTATACATATTCCGTTAGATTTGTTTCTAGATATTGGTATTTTTAAAACTATTGTAAATGATACCTGAAATTTTTAATTTTCTGGGTTTTGTTGCCATATAGAAATACAATTTATATTTGTATGCTGACCTTATATCTAGTGGCATTGCTAACTTCATTTATTCTAATAGTCTGTGGATTCTTTATGACTTTTTGTGTATACAATCATGTCATTTTTTTAAACAGACATTCTTATTTCTTACCTTCCAGTCATTGTGTCTTTTATTTTTCCTTTGCCTTATTCCACTGGTTAGGACCTCTAGTAAAACACTGAAGTGAAACAATAAGGCAGGCATCCTTGTCTCATTCCTGATCACTGAGGGAAAGATTTTAATAATTTACCATTAAGGATAACGTTTACTGTAGGTTTTAAAATACCAGTTTTAATAGTTGTTTTCTGCTGTTAGATAATCTATCTAATCTAGAAGCATAATTCCACCAAATATGTGCATAACTTTTAACTTCAGACTATTTAAAATCTATATTTTACAACTTTTGGTAGTAAAGGAAGAGGGAGTCTTAAGGTGACGGATGCTACATTGCCTTCAGTAGAATTTCTGCCCCCAAAACAGCATGTGTTAAACTCACTATATGCTGTGCCTAAAAACAACAACAAAGGAATTGTAAAAAATGCACATATAATAGAAGCATTTAAGAAACTATATGATTAAAATGGGTGTTATTATCCAGGTATTTGACCTCCATTCTGTATTTTTGTTTTGCAACAATAGAACTGGCCTATTTTCATAAGGTATGCATTTTGTGGAAGTTATTTATATCATGTTTACTACTAAATTTTAATCATTGAATTTCAAAATGTTGATCTATTCTACAGCAAAGTCTGCTGGTGATCCCTAGGCTGGTGAGGAATGATCCATGCTTTATGAATACACACAGTAATTCATAAAGTAATGCACAAAGTAATTCACAAATCTACTAACGTAAATAAATAAAGGCCTGGGTTCTGGGTGTTTATTTGGCCAGTCTCATTTGGGTGATTATACCAATTGGACTTTCCTGGCATAAACAAAAAAAGTAAACTTAGATTTTCATCATGTTGAAATATATTGGTGAAAACTTCAATCAAATTTCTTGTCATTATACATAAAAGCTATTTCATTTAAATAGCTAATAATAAATGGATAAGTCATTAAAGTTGCCTACCATATTTATGTCTTATATATCTGTTTTTAATTTTGTTTTCATTTTTATCACTTTTTAATTTCAATATTTAGATTCGATGAAGGCCGAAAGCTATGTTTCAAGAATAACTTGAACAGTCAGTAATTTTCCTTTTTTATTTCTTTATATCCTTAGGGAAAAAAGTAATTCAGGGAAAAGTGCAAGTAATTAAATTCCAGTAGGATGACATTTGAGATTTAAAGCAAGCTCTTTAATTGCTCACATTATGCCATAAGTTCAACTAAGTGGTCTTATAGTTATATCCATATAAATTTAGTTGGAAACCACATAATCAGCTTACTTGGCTTATTGAACACAACATAAAACAATTATAATTCAGATAAGTTCCTTTCTTATCTTGTGTAATTTCTATTTCTATTCTTCTTGTCCTAAAGGACAACATAATGCTTATCTCTTACAAATAAAACTTCGGCATAATTGAAAAAGTAAATTTACAGAAAATATCTGAAAGCTACATTGAAGAACAAAACAGAAGATAATTTGGACATTAAAAATAAATCATTATTTTGCTGATAAAGGCTGCCTGTGTCTGCAAAGTAACTTAAAGTGAAAATCTGATATCACCTGATAATCAGACTTGAACAGAATAACTGAAACTCAGAAGAAATTCTCTGGCTCTTTTGAAAGGTGAGGAGAAGCTGCAGGAAAACCAAGAGAAACACATACATTAAACTACACTAGAACTTCTATTTATAGGGCAAAAGGAAGGACAAGGAAGTATATGATGCCCTCCAGAGTCTTGAATCCTTTGAAAGGATTTAGGGTTTATTTAAGATTCTGAGATTTTTTTTTTAAAAGATTTTACCAAGCAGTGACTTAACAGATTTATTTAGTGAAAGGGATGTCAAATTATATAATATTTTTCTTTAATTATTATCTATAAATGAGAATAATTTTTAAATTTTAATACTAGTGAGTATTTATGGAGCACTTACAATGTGCTAGGTAAGTAGCAACCAAATAAATAAGATACTCGATAGCGTATATGGTGTTCACAATGGGAGAAAGTCACAATTTTAGTGTATTCATATTTTAATGAAGTACATGTTTATGTACAATTTGGGAGAAACAAGTATGCTAAGTTATATGCTTATGGCTCCTTAGCGGGCATAGCGCAGTGGAATAGTCTACAAAAAAGGCCTAGGTAGCTATAAAGAATTTCAAACACTCTAGCCTAGCAAACATAAAGATATAGGGTAAAGACAAGCACCACAAATATATAGAAATGCAAGATTGCATAAAAGCTTTAAAAGTTTTCATTAAAAAGACATTAACTAATTAAGAAGTTGATTTAAATAAAATTTCTTCTTATACTACTTGAGTAATGTATAGTTACGGAAGATTAATCACTGAGAGAAGGTGAAATATGGAGAAAATACTCAATATCCAGTGTAACTAAAAATGCTAAGTGCAATGAATATTAATAAAAGAAAGAAATTTAGCATGGTCAGGGACATGCATAGGTTTAGAATAGAGTATACATATTAAGACAACACTACAATTTCTTAAAAGAAAGGCATTGCATTGGGAGTTAGGGTTTGCCAAAATTAAGGAGAGGCTCACTTGACCAAATACAATACTTAACTGAATACAAAGCTATTCCTGCAGTTGGGGTTGTCTTTAATTTCTCTCTCAGTGTCCTGAACCAAGAGGTTGGGGAATATTGGCTTCATGAATTTGAACTCACCAGTCCCAGGGTCTCCTGTCAGACACACCTCATACTGGTAACTCTGGGACAGGGTCCCGGTGCCGCTGACGTCCACCAGGTGGCCCGGAAAGTGGCCCTCAGGCACCGAGCAGCGACCCAGCGAGGCGGCCCTGCTCCTCCCGCACAGCCGCACCGCGATGAACGCGAGCACCGAGAAGAGG